GCTGTAGAGGCGCGGGGCCACGCCCTCGGCGGGCGGCGCGCGCGGGAACTCCTTGAGCGAGCGGCTCAGCGGCTTGGCCTTGCCGTGCGCCTGCGCCGCCGCCTCCAGCTTGTAGGCGCCGCTGCTGCCCGCAGGCGACGTGGCGCTCTTGGGCAGCGGCTGCAGAGGGTGCTCGGGCCGCTCGGCCTCCATGGCGAAGCTGACGGGCCGGAGGAAGCAGATGTCCAGGCTGGACTCGGAAGAGGCGGGCGAGCAGTTCTCGAAGAGGGCCGGGGCCTGGAACGGCTCCTCGTCGTACGGCGCGGGCAGCGCGAAGATCTCGCCGCCGTACTCGAACTCCTCGTAGCCCGCGGGCACGAAGCCGCGGGCGTCGGGCAGGAGCTCGGCCGGGGCCCGCAGGGAGCGCTCCACGTTGCCCAGCGGCTCGGCGGGCGAGGGCTCGAAGTCCATCTCGGGGATGGCCTGCAGGGGCCCGGCCAGCGCCTTCACGTCCTGCTCGGCTGCACAGAACTGCGCTGGCGCCAGGAGGCTCTCGGGCCTCTCGTGCTTTCTGCCCTCCATCTCCCACTCGCTGGGCTTCCCGGGCTGCATGCTCTCCATCAAGCTTTGCTGTTGTTGGCTTTTCTTCACTGGAGGCATCAAATGTCTGTAAAAAAGGAAACAGTACAAAAAGAGGTGTGCTTACGGTTGGTTAGTTCAGGCCGCTTCCCAAGCAGCGCGAAGCCGGGAGCAACACGGGAGCCAGATAGCACCTAGGCGCAAAACTGCCAGGTCCTCTCCTCTCTGCCCTCCCCGGCGTCTACGTGTGTCACCGACCAAGCTCCGTAGGCGTCTCCAGCCAGGGAGTCCCCACGAGCCCTGGTCCCCCACGTGGGAGGGTGAAAATGCCATCTATAAAGCGGATGCCTGAAGTATCCGTCTGAGCAAGAAGGCTCTGCGCAGAGATGGCTGGTGAGCCAGGATGGTCATCACTCCACATATGGACGCTCTTACCCGCCCACCACGTGTCCAGAGCCCCAAGATGCCTCCTTTCTCTCCTCTCCCTTTTTTGCCCTAGCAATATGATACAAAGTAATGGAAAGAACTTTTATTCGACTCCTGGACCTACACGCTTAAGAACAATTATATTCCTCGATGAAGTCAGTGTGGTACAAACTTGAAAACTGTTGAATCTGGATGATGGTATGTGGGGTTCCCTGTACACTTTTGTGTATATTTGAAGTTTTCATAAGAAAAAAAACTAAAAAATTCCTTGTGGCTATAGAGCATGCTTTTAAAAGTTGTCTCAAACTTTCACCCACAAAAACATGACCGAAATGAAAAGGCTGTCACTCTGAATATGCCCAATTTCATGGAAGGATATTTTGCTTAATCATGAATAACGAATAATTTACATAGGATATTAGGGTAGCACACACATCACATTGGATGTGATTTGCCAGTTCTGGAAGGTAACAGCCAGGCAGATGTGAGTGGAGGACTACACACTGACCCAGCCTGATTGTTCTACTCGTTTATTAATCCTACCACAAAAATGCATTAAAAATACAAATGTAAATGCTGAGTATCTTTCTCTGGTGATACTCTGGTGAGTATCTTTCTCAGGTGAAAATGAGGTCTCCCACTTTCAAAGGTGAAAAGAAATGATAAATGAAATGCTGACCTAACCTGAATTGTCTTTTAACTTGGAAAATTGTTGAGTTTTTTACTGGCTATTTTCCCAACACAGAGTCCAATGGCAGCCATTTTTTTCGGGCTAGATATAATCTCTAGGGATTTCATTTGGGGGCTCTGTTTGTTTCACTTCAAAGATCATTCTCATAAAAGCTGAAGTGGGGGCACCTGGGTGGCTAGGTCAGTTATGCATCCGACTCTTGATTTCAGCTCAGGTCATGATCTCATGGTTCGTGAGTTTAAGCCCCGAGTTGGGCTCTGCACTCATAGCGCAGAGCCTGCTTGGGTTTCTCTCTGTCCCTCTCTCTGTGCTCCTACCCCACATGCTCCTGTGTGTTCTCTCTCTCTCTCTCTCTCTCTCTCTCTCTCTCTCTCTCTCAGCGAGCCCAACACAGGGCTTAAACTCACGAACCTTGACATCATGACCTGAGTCGAAGTCCAATGCTCAACCGACTGAGCCACCCCATTGCCCCTGGAATTTTGAGTTTTGGTTCCCCTTATCTTTCCAGAAAAATTGGTTTCAAAAGTAGCCAAGTTGACTTTATCCTTATCCTTTAGAGGTAAAGAGTTCCAGATACATAAATGGCCTATTCCTTAATGTAAAAATCATCAAGAAGTTTGCTCAATAAGAATCCAGCTTAGTGGGGGCACCTGGGTGGCTCAGTCGGTTAAGAGTCCGACTCTTGGTTTCAGCTCAGGTCATGATCTCACGGTGTGTGAGTTCGAGCCCTGCATCAGGCTCCGTGCTGACAGCACAGAGCCTGCTTGGGATTCTCTCTCTCTCTCCCTCTCTCTGCCCCTCCCTCACTCACTCTCTCTGTCTCTCTCTCAAAAATAAATAAAACTTAAAAAAAAAAAGAATCCAGCTTAGTGTGCTAGAGGATTGTATGCAGAGACTTTAAAAAGCTGTCAAATACATCCACTGCACAGAAAAACTTTAAGAGAAGCTGTCACAAGTGGAGAAAAGAGCTTATGAAGTCCTTTTATGAAGAAGCTTCAAGGGGAATCAGGAGGACTAAACTACACTCTCTGTGCATCACCTCAGGCCTATTTCTCTTTTCAGAGCCTGGAGTTCCACTCCCCCCTGACTGGGATTCTCTCCCTCTACTGTACCTTTTGGAGAACGTAAGTAGGTTCCCACCCTTCTGAGGAGCTATAAGATGTCTTCCTGTCTTCTTGCAGCACTCTCTTCCACCCAATCACTGTCCAAACCCAAAGAGACTTAAGTTGTAGATGGAGGGTGGTTATGTGTGGTAAATTTTTAGGAGTAGCCGTCAGCCTCTAGGCCTGCCCCTTGACATTAGCCTTCCTCTGGGATCCAAGTTTTGCGTCAGCTGCTTGCCTGCCCATATAGGCCTGATGGGGCAAGAGAGAGGAGAGTCCTGTAGATCATACTCCTCGTTCAGGCTGTCCTGCTACCCCACACAGACCACTTGGCACCCAGGGCCTTGCCATTAGCATTTCCACAGCAACAGGTGCTTACGTGACAGCAGGGCCAGAGCTGGGAGCAGAAGGGTAGGGTTGCAGCATCTCTTCTGAGTGGATCCCGCTGTCGCGGACAGCCTCAGGGCCTGCAGTGGGGGAAGCATCTTGTCCAGTGTTTGCACACTGGGAAGCCAGGCCTTTGTACAGCTTCGCCATGGATGACCTATGAGAATAGAAGTAATCATTTTCAGGGTGTACATTGGGAAATTGGCTCTGAACACACAGATTAGGACAAGAAAGATAAGGAGACAACATTTCTTAGATGAAGCTCATCTGTGAAGTTCTCTCTCTCTCTCTCTCTCTCTGGCCCTCTATAAACAAGGTTGTTTACATAACAGTGTAAGCTAGATGCTGGGCAAGAATAAGGATGCTGATTAATTGCCTGAATTAAGTTTGGGGGAAAGGGGTGGTATAGGAAGATAGCCCCCAGACCAGCATCTTTTTCCGGTCTCAAACACCCACAGAAATTATTCTGTTTTCCTCATTGATTGGAATGAGGTTGAAGGAAATCCAGGTCATTAGAAAGTTCTGCTGTAGATTGCTTCTGTTCCCTCTGAAGCCCAGATTCTCCCCAGTCAGCCCTTTTTGTTTCTTTTTAGCATTAATTTGTTCAACCACCACCCCTCCCTTATTTGTTTTGTTTTTATCCATAGCACTTATCACTATCTAACTTACTTATTAACTTGCTGTCCAGCCCTAGAAAGTGAGTTCCATGTGGCAAAGATTTTTGCTTGTTTTGTTCATTGCAGTATATTCAGTGCATAGAGCAATGCCTGATGCATAGTAAGTGCTCAATAAATATTTGTTGAATCAATGAAAGAACCCACATTCTGGCCTTTAAACTGCATTTTTTTAGTCTGGCAAGCTTAGGGAAACAATTTCAATGGTTAGTAACATGAGATAAGGGGGTCTGCATAAGTATTAGAGTAAAACTGTTTATTTTTCTGAGGTAATTTCCCCCAGGTAATAGGTACCTCCCTCCCTATAGCCAGCCTGGCCATCTCATTCCCCACCTCTTCTCTGTTCTCTTCTACCTCCTGTCACTGCATTTCAGCCACTTTCAATACAGTGCGGTTACTTGTGACAGGTACCCACATTGTCTGTATTCTTGTTCTTAGAAACCTTTGATAAACCCTCTAAGCAGCACCATCAGAACCTTACTTCTTGAGCTTTTTCCGTTTCTGAATAAGCAAATCCTCATTGCATTGAAACAGCAGGGTGTAATGCGAGATAAATACTCGAAGGCGCTGAACACACACCAGAAGTAGATAATAGTCAGGGTGTTCCTGCTCTGTGAACTTCAGGACATTCTGGATGGAGGAAAAAAGGAAGCAGCATTGCATAATTAGAATGAAACATTTTGTCTCTTGTACCCTTTGCCTCCATCTGTTGTGAGCGTTTGGTAGCCATTTAATCAAAACAACAATACATATGGCCAATCTAATTGGCTGAAAGGTTAATCTTAATCTAATTAATCTGAAAGGTTAAACTTGACGTTCTCTTTGTCCATCCCACCAAGGGAGACTAATAGTCATCATTGTTCCTGTTTTGGCTGGATGTAAACATAGGCTAATTCCATCTGAAAAATTTGAAGGATCTATTCATTAGATTTTTGAGGTAATGGAGCCATTCTAACAATTACTGTCTATAAGCAATGCCTTATAACCCAAATAAGTCAGACTAATGGTGAGAATGTCAGACATCAAGGGGAGGATGTTTATGATCAAACCTGGTCTGGTGGTCCCTACTATATCGCCTACTGTGTGGTAGTGGAACATGCATGTTCGTTGGATCTGGAAAGCTAATGTGTATTGAGTCTTCCTATTGCCAAGTACTAATCCCTTTACATATTCGTTTTCTCATTTAATGTTTACCACAGATAGATTAGATAGGTGCAATTATTATCTCTGTTTAACAAATAAGGAAATCAAGGCACACCGAAGTTAGGTAATCTTCATTAGGCCACACATCTAACAAGTAGCAGAGCCAGAATTTGAACTCGTCAGACAGTAGAATCGGGGCTCTCATTTATCATACTGCTTGCAAGACCTGGGTTTGAGCCCCAGATTTTTTCACCTATAACATGTGTTAACTTGAGCAACTTACTTAACTTCTTTGGCTCTCTATTTCCTTATCTAAGCAATGGTAATAATACCTCTTTCATGGGATTATTGAAAACATTAAATAAGATAATTTAATTTATTGTGAGAAGATCTTAAAATCTAAAGCCACATATAATTGAAAGTCTTCTTTTTGTTTTCAACGTTTTTTCTTTGTTTTTTTGGGGGTTTTTTTTTATATTTTTGGGACAGAGAGAGACAGAGCATGAACGGGGGAGGGGCGGAGAGAGAGGGAGACACAGAATCCGAAACAGGCTCCAGGCTCCGAGCCATCAGCCCAGAGCCTGACGCGGGGCTCGAACTCACGGACCGCGAGATCGTGACCTGGTTGAAGTCGGACGCTTAACCGACTGCGCCACCCAGGCGCGGCAAAAGTCTTCTTAATAGTGATACTGGACTACTTCTACCTGAGATAAATCCCAAGCATTTCTAAGATGCTTTCAACTGAATTACTTAGGAAAATCAGTCAGCAATTAAACCAGAATAGGTGGATGTTAGAAATAAGAGGGACTGGTAGGGATGCTGGTGAGCCTTTCTCTCAACTCTACTTCCTCCAAGGGGCTGCAAGCCCTGTGGAAAAATGATGTGCAGAAGTCACCTCATCAACTTCTTCATGCTTTGTCTGTGACATAAGACATAAGCAATATATGGCAGGCTCTTGGACTCAAGCCAAAAGAAAGTAGTCAAAGAGCAGTTAAATGGACAGGTTACATAGATACTTCTTAGATGCCAGGGATGGGGATGGGGTAAGAGTTTAGGGGTACATTTAGATGGCTGTAGAACAAGATGGAAGGGACTCAATAGGTACTTAGAGTCTACCAGGAGCTTCTATAGAAAGATCCTGGATCAGCAGAGGTGGTGATTGCTGGTAAATGAAGATAGAACTTCAAAGGCAGACATCATGAACCAAAAATTTTTAGACATTGAGATTGTGGTTCGTACTACAAGGTAGGCATGGGATAATCATAGCAATCTAAATCATTTAATTACTCTTTAGAAATACCAATGATTCTTCCTTGACCCTTTACAGTGTTTCTCATTTAGAAGCCAAAAATAGTAGTTTAGCTTGAAAGTCATCTTGGTGGCTTCCCAGCCACGCCTACCTGCAGATGTATCAGGTATTCAGGGATGCGCTGGACTATGTGAAAAAACAGTGTGTAGATGTCAGATTTAATCTCTTCGTCACCCTGAATGAAAGAAAGGTAGAGTCACTCTTCAGTGTCCCTCCGGCTCTGGCTGCAGAACCCCAAAGTCAGTCCTACCAGAGTAGGCAGAGTTTTTTATTCCCAGAGCATTTTCTTTCTCTAAAGTGTCATGGTCCTTCATTGGATAGGCCACTTGTTCAGAGACATGCTCAAGGAGACAATTCTTCTGTAGCAGGGAGCATATCATATCATTCTTTCGAATCCACCCAACTTTCCAAACAACCCCCTCCCTCCCCACTACTCTTGTTAGCACAGTGCTGGACACAAGTGGGCACTCAATAAATTATAACCAAGTTGAATAAATTCATTCAGGTTCTCTTGTAAGTACTCATTACAGTGGCTTAGTAATAGGCCCTAAGGGTAGACTGGAGCCTCATGAGGGTGGAGACAGAGTATAACTAGAAACTGGTCAGCCGGGCTGGCAGAGCAAACATGTTGGACTCTCCCCATGTCCCTTTCTTTCCCTCCCTTTCCCTTCCCTCTCCTCCCCTCCCCTTACTTTCCTTTCCTCAAATATTTGATGGGCGCTAACATGTGGTAGGCGTTATACTTATAGGGTTGAGAGTAGTTGGGGCGGGGGGTGGAAGTAGAATGTTAATAAGAAAGAGACCCTCACCTCTCGTGAAACTTGATTAACTCTTAACTTTAGGCTTCTGATAGAGTTTCTTCCTATTGACCTAAAATAACTAGAATTGTTAGATATTTATATGTGCTTCTTGAGCACCTACTATAGCATTGCAGTAGCAATACTTAAAGCTACATGATTAGAACCACTTTATGATCTTATAAACTGACACAGGATGATTTCAGTTTAATATTCAGATTCAAATTGTACCTGGAAAAAAAAAAACCCTCATAGAGCATGCAAGCTGTGGCCTGAGGATCTCTGCTTAGAACACCTGTTTGCTTTGTGTAAACTTCCAGTGCAATAGAACAGAGAGTCAGCGAGGCAGGGCGTGGACCAAAGCACTGGCATTCATCCTCGAGTGGGCTCCTTTAACTCCAGGTAGGGTGTCAGGGACTCTGTTGGAGCCATTCCTCAGCTTGGAAGACAAGCTGAGTGCGTGTGTTGTGTTCCCCTAGGTGGATGAGCAACTTCCGACAGATATACCTGTAACCAAAGGGCAGTACACACACAGAGTCACCTTACCTCCTTCAGAACAACAACATGAACCAAAGAGATGCATTCAGGTAGGTCCCTCAGGTAGGCAACATAATAATCCAAGAAATTATTCTTAAAAACAAACACAAAAATGCATGGTAAGACTCTGGACACAGGAATGATAGCAGCTAATATTTTTACAGTCGTGTGTTTCACAAAGGAGTACTTTGCAGAGATTATTTTGACCATTTAATGTGTTCGTTAATATGTTTTGGGGGGTTTTTTAATTCATTTTTTTAAACTTTTTGGTTTTAAGGCAAATATCCCTATGAACTTGAGAACCAAAATTCAATAATCCTGCTTTCATGAGAGAAAGTGAAAAACCAATGCAGCGGAGAGGGGTCATGTAAGTTGAAAATTTTTTTGTGTGTGTTTATTTATTTATTTTGAGAGAGATAAAGGGCAGAGAGAGAGGGAGAATCCCAAGCAGACTCCACACTGTCAGCACAGAGCCCAACGCAGAACTCGATCCCATAGAACTGCAAGACTGAGACCTGAGCTGAAATCAAGAGTCGGACACTTAACCAACTGAGCCACCTAGGCACCTCGAAAAAGTATTTTTAAATTGTTAAATGATTAAAATGCATATTTCGTTTTTAAGTTACTTTTCATTTCAGTCATCTGCATCCAGTGAGGAATGTTGTCCAACCCACCTTCCGGTGTCTAGACCAGTGATTCTCAATTTTTGCCACTAATTGTATATTCCCACCATTTGTTTATTCTTCTATGCAGTATGCCTTCAAGAAAGCAATTTTCAGCTTCCAAAGTTATATTCCCACAGATATAACAACTCTCAGCCCAAGAAAGCATACTGAATACAAACAAGTAAAAGTGCTATTAGAGGGATTGCATTATATCCATACAAGTAAATAGTTTGTAAACTATACAAGTAAATAATTTGTGAACTTTGTCTTGTTACCTACAGTTGAGAATCACCAATATACAGAATTTGATTGCAGGCTAACTATGGCTTGCAGACCAATTTTAGTTAGCCCACACAATATATTTTTTTAATGTTAATTTATTTTTGAGAGAGACAGAGAATGTGAGTGGGTTAGGGACAGAAAGAGAGGGAGACACAGAATCCGAAGCAGGCTCCAGACTCTGAGCTGTCAGCACAGAGCCCGATGTGAGGCTCGAACTCACGAGCTGTGAGATCATGACCCGAGCCGAAGTCAGACTCTCAACCGACTGAGCCACCTAGGTGCCCCTCACAATATTTTTTAAATAAGAAATTTCATACAAAATTCTTGATTTCTAGTGTCTCTTAAAATATCAGATCTGGAAACTCTAGTCCCTTCTTCCTGGATAATAATTGGATAATATTCCTTGTAGAAAAGCATATGTGCTCCACTTAAGCTCACCTCCCAGCAGTCCATACTGTATTACACTCCACTTATTTCCACTGATTTATATCACTACCTGGCCCCGTAGGCATTTGAGTTTGCAACCTCTGGCCTGGGTCATACTTTCTTTGTAGAACATTACAGAGATTTCAAAACTTAGCACTCTTCTCCAAAAAGTGAAAATAAAAAACATTCAAGACAAACCACTGCCTATCACATTTTTAAATACCGCTAAGGAATGAAATTAGGTGAGAAATACAAGCACATATACAAACCCCCCTATAAAAATGTTGGATGGATGGCTATGTATAGATAGATAGATAGATAGATAGATAGATAGATAGATAGATAGATAGACAGACAGACAAATACACACACACACACTTACATGCATACTCAATGGGCCGTTCTACATAGTACAGGGGAAAGTGATGGGCTAGAGGTTAGGAGACTTGGGTAACAGATCCATGACTGCCTAGCTAGCCGGGTGATTTCAGCAAAGTCTTTTAATGTCTCTGAACTTTATTTCGTTATCTGTAGAGTGAGGAGGTTAGACTAGATCTCAGCAGGTTTCCTATCTCTGAAAAATCACTGGTTTGAGGTTCTCCATTCAGAGAAGCAGACAAGAGAGACACAGGTGCATGTAATTCAAGTTTATGCAGGATTTTTTTTTTTACAACTTACCTCATCATTTGTTAATTTAAGGAATAAATCTCCAAGAACTCCTTGGCGTGGCCACTTCAAGACCCTTTCCTGCAGAGCATGGAGCAAATCGAGGTGCTGCTGGACAAGGTACCGTAAAGAACCAGGGAAGAGGCTTGAAACAGAATAGAGATAGGATCACACAAACCAGGTGTAGAGAAGAAAAGAGCCTATAAGAACATATGCAGGAGGTCCCATTTTCCCAGTCATTCAAAATATTCTGAGCTCTGCATTCAGGATTTTTTTTTTTTTTAAAGTTTGCCATTGTAGACCTCACAGAAAATATCCTCAGGATGTAAAAAGACCCATTAGCAATGGTTCCTACACAAATCTATATTGTACTAATAAGGAGCATATCACTTGAATGGCTTTTTTTTTTAAGCTTATTTTTTTTAGTAATCTGTACACCCAATAAGGGGCTCAAACTCACAACCCTGAGATCAAGAGTCACACGCTCTCCCAACAAAGCCATCCCGGCACCCCTTGAATGGCCTTTTTAAAGCCAAACTGTTACTCTCTCATTTATGTGACAGTGGAAATTCTCAGGGAAATCTTTTCCAAAATTTTAAAGTTATTTCCACTTGATGTGCAAAATAGTCTATTCTAATTAGTGTTGTAGACAACAGCACTGAGGTGGCACTTGGTCATTCTTAGCTACTGGGTAAGAGACTGATTTAGGGAAGAAGGAAAACTTGTTTAAAGCTGGCAACTAGACGCTCAGGGGACAGGCATATGAAAGTGTTCATTTCCCTTCCCTTCATTATCCAAGAGGAAAACTGAGCAAGGACAGAGACTTGCCTGGGAAGGCTGTAGACCAGGCCTGGCCTGTTACTCCCAGGAGTTTCACAGAGCCCCTTCCTACTCTCACAGCCCTCTCCCCCATCCCTTAGTGTGCCTCTTTTTTTGTCTGTTTGTTTTTGTTTTTTGGTTGTTTTGTTTTGTTGTTTTTTCAGAGGAAATGAAGGGAGGAGAAGTGTCAGAGAAGGACACAGTGGAGAGGAGAGAGAGAAAGAATCATGGGAGGAAGAAGGGGGTGGATGGAGAAGAGTGGGACAATCAGAGGCCTATGGGAACAAGGATGCAAACTGCAAGGAAATGGAGTCTTGCTGGGCTACAGCAGGGATCTGAGCCCTAACTTGGTGACTTATGGGAACTGAAAGTAGGTTCCCTTGTGTTTTGAAGACCACACGTTTAACAAAGATGAAAGTGCTGGCCTGCTTGTCACCGAGAGCTGAGCTTACGTGGATATTTCTCCAGGGTCCAACGAGAGTAAGTTAGTGGACAGTTGGTGTGCTTTGTCCACCCTGAACAAGCAGACCTTTGTTGAGAACAGTAGAAAGACCATCAGTTTGGTAAGAGGTCTTTCAACCCATCTCCAAGGAAAGCAAAGACTCCCCTGGAGCTATAGCTCAGAGAAGACACACAGATTGGAGAGGGTACCCAGCCCCCTGTGAAAAGATACAAGGCCTCCTTCATTCCTGCCTTTTCCCCCTCCACCTCCTGTGCCACTGGTCTCCGCATATGCAAAGCCAGCTAGTCTGCGCTTCCTGAGCTCTTATGGCTGGCATAGTGGGCTTAGGAGATCTAAGTGATCCCTGTCTGGATCAGAGGGAATTTGGAGGAGAGGCTAGGAGACAGTCTGACTGGGAGGAAACCATAACATTGCTGGAGGAAAGCACAACTGATTGAACTGAACAAGTGAAACACTGTGCCAGCAAAAGGTCTAGATGTGAAAGATTTCTCCCCACCCAAGGCTTCCATGGCTTCCGGTGATATTCCTGATGTGACACTGAAAGCTGTTAGGGCCCCACACCATGGTAAGATCTGACTTGGAGATAGGTTGTCCTTTTAGGTTTTGTAATATCTCTTAGATTACCCCTTTCCTTTTTTTCTCTCTTTACTGATCTCCTGGCCTTGCCTAGCCTCACCTGAGCTCACCTTCTTTCTCTTTCTTTTGAGACAGCTGCCTTCTGCTACATGGTGATCAGTGTACTTGCAGAGTTGGAGAGCTGGTAACTTGGTTGGAGTCCAAGTACCTCCTGGACTGTCCACTGGGGTAACAGAGATTTCAGGGTGAGGGATGAGGGTCAGAAAAGGCTAATGCCCCCATCAAGTATTATGGAAACACATAAGTTACAGGAAGAACAATGACTTGTGGTGGGTTCTTCACCAAATATTGGGGAAAAAATGTTCTATTTAATCAGGTTATTATTTGAAATTGGAGACGAGTGTGGAGAAAGTGAGCCAGGAGATGGAGAACAGAGAGAGAAAGAAGGCAAGCAGTATAGACACACACACACATAACCTATTTCACTGTTTTGCCTAGAGCCAGACGTGATTCTCAGAAGCAACTTTTTCATGAAGATGAAAGTATTCAATGCTCAACTTCTTATCTGTTCCTTACCAGGAGTGAAATTACGGCAACGTGAATTTGTTTATTGTTTTTTAAAACCTTCAAGTGATTTCAACTCCCACACTACAGTACTTAAAAACAAGGGAAATAAACTAAAAGCAATGAAAGAAAACCCAACTATAGTTTCTTGCTCTTGCCAGTTCAATTTTAGGCCAAAATAACTCCTGAGTTTCAGCAGCAGGATGTGACCCAATCTGACCCGCGTGGATAATGAAACATTCGCCACCTGGTGGTGATCTGTAGCACACTGAGTTCTTGGTGGATGTGGCGCTGGAGTTTAGCTTATAAAACTAACTGGCAGTCAAGTCAAGCTGACTTTGCCCCTCCCTACAAGTATTCAGACAGACAGGACTATTTGATCCTGAGCTTATAATTCTATCTATAGAGTGAATCAGACCAGAAAAATCCAAGAACTCCAACTTCTGTGATCCCCCAGCAAATGAACAACAGCCCACATGTTCCACTCAGACCTCCGCTGGTAGCTTGTACCACTGCAGTTTCCAGCCCAGAAGCAGGGCGGGCTTGAAACAGGCTGAGGAGGCTCTTGAAGGCTTGCCGCCCCCCCCCCCCACCCAGGGAAATCCTAAAGTTGTATCTTAAAGGTTTGAGAAGATGTGGCAACCTCAGTTTTGAGTGTCAGGTTATAGTTACGGTGAGTTTTATTTTCACCCCCAGGTTACTTTTCAGCAGGAGCAGAAAGTGCTGAAGCCTTGCAATGTGTGATGGGAGAGATAGGAAATGTTACTAACTTATTTTCATCTTTACATGGGGGAAAATGTCAGTAGAGAAAAGGAATAATCCCATTCTGCTATGTTTTCATTCAGCTGGTCTATTTAAGGCACACACGGAGGCTTCAGAAAAGCTTAGAAAAAAAAAGAAATGTAGTCACTGAAGGAGGATAATGGAAATCTAACCCTAGGGTGGAAAAATGGCAACACTGCAAAGCTCAGAACTAGAATCTTTATATTAGTAAGACTGAGAGTATCAACTTAAAGCTTTTCTCATCTTGATCTATGAAAAGAAGAAAGAGGGTCAGCTTAGTAAATAACTAACATGCATAGCATCATCATGGATATCAGGAATAACTTATCTTACTTTCATGGAATTTTGTATAATAGTTTTAATTTTTTTTTTAATCTCAGGATTTGGGGGAGATTAGTCCTTCCTCAGCAATGGATCATAGGAGAACATCTTAGACAAGAAGGAAGTGACGGCAAGTCGAAGAGAGCTTCCGTGAGCCAAGCACATTTCTAGCATCCCTACCTGACAAATCAGTTGAGATCTGAAGTAAGAACCTGTGGGCTGTTGAAGGGAAGCGTAAGTTGTGAAATGGGAAGAAACAGAAAGTCTGCTTCTGGCTGAGAAACTTGATATAGTGCTTGTCAGTCAGGTGACGTCTTTGAAACTACAAGGTCCTTAGAGAAGTGGCATGATGTGGAAAGATCACAGGGACAGGGGTACACAAGCCTGGGTTTGAATTCGGGCACTAATTGGCCATGTGGCTTTAAACCCCCCTGGACCTGAGTCTCTTCATCTGTAAGACAGGGTTCACAGGGTTCTTGTGAAGGTTTCATGAAGTTATGACTGAAATGCCTAATTACTGTGATCCAAAATGAACAATTCTCTCTCCTTACCCCATCCCCAAATTTTCAGGGACAAGGAAGAGAGGCTGCTGGCTTAGTATCTCAGATGTGGAAGCAAAACCACACCCAGAGGTAGACTTGCCTTTACATTTGATTCATATGTAAGATTGGAGTCTAGCAGGGGAATTAAGGGGCCAGATGGGGAAGGAACAACCAGCAGGAATCTAGGTGGCCACTGAGAAAAGGTGAAGCCTGGTCCAGGGCCTCCAGTGGTCAGAGCTTTCACCATGTCACATCACCCTTTCTGTCCCTTGTTTTCTATGCTTTGTTTACCTCAGTTTTGCAGTAAAATAATTCTTGAAAATAGTCAAGTCACTTTTGAGTTTGTCAGGGAGTATCCCCTCATCTCGGCCATTTAGCTAGGGGAAGCTTTGTGCTCTGGTGACTAGGTACCTTGTTGGTAGCCACAAAGCCAAGTAAAATGAGGGGATGGAAAAGAGCAGGAAAATTTGACAATTAGGGGCTTCCCTAGATAGATTCACAATATGAACCATCAGTGTCTATTACCTGATAGCGTATTTAAACAGGTAATGCTACGTTTATCTATAATAGGCCATAATCTAGACTTTCCAAGCTTTTGGATTGACCTTTTCCTCAACTAATCTGGATTATTCCATCTTCATCACATTAGTCCTTTCCACCAAACCAGAGTTTCCTCCTTCCTACTTTTCTCAATGGAGAAGAGGCGGAGAAAATAGAAAGATTATGGACAGATACCCGTCAAAAGAGTGTTGTAATCTTGGGGCCAGCATGCTCCAGACCCTGTGGAAGCACTGCCCCACAACACACACACCATACACACACACACCACATACACACACCACTTGTGCACCATTCGGTACTATGGGACCACCCGAACAAATGAGAAAGATCCAAGTCCCAGGGTTAACCAGCCCCATGCCATTTATCTGATGGCCACTTAGTGCTTTCAGACCTCCCTGCGTCCATTCCCTTACACCCCCCGTGAGACCTGTGGTTCCCACGAGAACATGCAGATGTCAACAGAGAGCAACATCTCCCTCACTGTAGCATTTATTTTCCCTTTAGGTTCTTTACAGACATGCCAGGGATACTGAAGGCCCCAGAGACTATACTCAGTTTCTTATCTAAATTTGTGACTTGCCAGGGGTTACCTGCTATCACTGCCTACGCTCTTTTCAAAGACTATTCCTGGAACTCCTCACAGGTCCCAGAATTCCCCAAATGGAAACAATAAACAACTTACCTTAAATCTTAAGCAATCTGAAAAAGGAAAGGCAATGAATACATGGGTACCTTCTCTCTTTGGAATTCCTCTTTCCATCTGACCCTTGGAACGTTGCCTTGATCTTCAGGATCAGAGAGATGTTGATGACGTATTTTCTTTCCGATTCAAGCAGTTCTAGAGCCACGGTCTGTCTTTTAGCTTTAAAAATAAATCAAAGAGGGAATTTTTGTCAACCACTCCTTCCCAAAACTCTGTTAAATTATAGAAAGCAATAAAAAGACACTAAACCCAATAAAAAGAGACATCGGCAAATTTTTGGAAGATGAAAAACAGAATGGAAGCATGGTAATTAATTCAGCAGAGTGAGGGCACAAAACCTTGGTGTTCTCATCTGCAGATGGAAAATCTGCTAAGAAGCAGAAAGGCTCAAGAAGTGGAGGCACCAGGCGCCACAGAAAGTGTAATTTAGGAGCAATGCTGAAAACAGGAGACATGGTCTACATAAAGTGCAATTGAACTTCCAGGCCCCTCCCCCCATGCCACATGGCTTCCTCATTTATGCCCCATGCAAAAATGGGAAAAACTAAACTAGAGGGGCCCTTATCTCTGGGGTCTGGACTAAAAACATCAGAGAGGAGAAGGAAGAGTTGAGATGCCAAAAGGAAAACAAGGGAACTCAGAAGGCTTGTGTCCTTCTGGAGGAACAGGGAGACCCCCCCCCCCCGCCCCCAGCCCCTTCCTCTGGAGGTCTTCCCACAATGCCAGTTCCCACTCCTGCCACTCTTCAGGCAGGAGACTGGAGGATCTACCACTGAAGAAATGGAACTCTCCAAGGAATAAAGACCTACAGACACTGACATAAGGAAGTCACCTATCAAAAAGTTAATTTGCCACCCGATTAGCCTACAGTGAAGCCCATTTCCTGATAAGCTTGGCCAATATAGAATTTTGCAGTTTCTTTTTATTTAGAGCTGTATGTATATGAAGAAAAAGGTATTTACCCATTAGGAATAAATAGAGACAATGCAGGAGATGGAATGTATAGCATGGTGACTATGGTTAATAATATCATATTGCATAGTTGAAAGGTGCTAAAAGAGTAGACATGAAGTTCTGGCAAGAAAAAATAAAAAGTGTAGTTATGTATAGTGACAATGTTAACCAGACTTACTGTAGTGATCATTTCACTGTATATACAAATATCAAATCATTATGCTGCACATCTAAAATTAATATAATGTTGCATGTCAATTATATATACCTTAATAAAAGAGACAATGGAGAAACAAAACTTTTTAAAAATCCTACAGTTAATACCTCAAAGAGGTACGAGAAAAACATTCTAATCATTTAATAGTTACATGATGCTAGAGGCGCCTGGGTGGCTCAGTGAGTTAGGTGGCTGACTTTGGCTCAGGTCATGATCTCAAGGTCTGTGAGTTCAAGTTGCACATCGGGCTCTGTGCTGACATCTCAGAGCCTGGAGCCTGCTTCAGATCTATGTCTTCCTCTCTCTCTGGCCCTTCCCTACTTGTGCTCTGTCTCTCTCTCTCTCTCTCTCTCTCTCTCAAAAATAAATAAACATTAGGGGAAAAAAAATTTTAATAGTTACATGATGCTGGTTTTTTTGTTTGTTTGTTTTTTGTTTTTGTTTTGTTTTAAGAAAAGAGAACACTCCAGAAGAAGGAGGAGGAGAAAAAGAAACTTTTTGGCATTTTTTCAAAGATGAAGAGTGGAAAGTAAAGTCAAGGAGGTTTCCTGCCTTCTTCCCTACTCCCCCACCCCCAAAACAAGAAAGACATGTTGAAGAAAAATAGACTAGAAAACGATGGTAGTGGAGAAAATCCATGAGACCCAACATCAAATTAGTAGAAGTTTCAGAGAAAAGAAAGAAAATGGATGAGAGCATATTATCAAATGAATAATAGAAAAAAAAAATACCAGGACATTCATTTCTAGAGGAAAGAGCCCATTGTGCTCAGCGTAATTAATGAAAAAGACTCTCACACCGCTGTGACACTTCAGCACACCAGAGGTAAAGAGAAGATCCTAAAAGTTACCAGAGAGAAAAATCCAGTAACATACAAAGGACTGGGGATCAGAGTGGTACTGGGCTTTCCAACAGTAACATGAGGAATTAGAACACAATGGAACAATGGCTTCAAAATGATGAGGGAAAAAGATTTTATATTCACCTAAATTATCAACAAAGTATGTGGAAGCTACTGGACAATAGGTTCCATCAAACGAGAAGTAAACCGAGAAACCAAGAAGGACACACAAGATAAAAACAAACAGGAATCTAGCATAGAACTATGAAGGGAATTCCTAGGAAGAGTGGGAAGTCCCGGGAAGGCAGCAGTGCAACAGGCCAGCACGGAGCAGGAGGACAGAGGTCTCAGACGAATGCTTCTGGGGAAAAGAAGAAAAATGTAAATGAAAGATTTTCCATTACACTGCTAAGAAAAATTAAAGAAGACCTATGTAAAGGGAGACATATACCACATTCTTTGATCGGAAGACTCAATACTATCAAGATGTAAATTCTCTGCTAATTGGAATAAAAAGAACATAGAGTCTAGAATTAGACCCACCCAAATGTGATCACTTGACGTTCTCTATGCAATTCAGTATGGAAAGGAAGATATTTTCAATAAAAGGTGCTGAAGCAACTGAATAATCACATGAGGAAAAAAAAGAATCTGGACTCCCTCACACCATACATCAAAATTTATTCAAGATTAATAGATTGGGGCGCCTGGCTGGCTCAGTTGGTAGAGCATGCAACTCTTGATCTCAAGGTCATGAGTTTGAGCCCCATGTTGGGTGTAGAATTTACTTAACAACAACAACAACAACAAAAGATAAGTAATAGATCTAAATGTGAAAGCTAAAACTATAAAGATTTTAGAAGAAAACAAACTAGAATATCTTCACAACTTTGGGATAGGTGAAGATCTCTTGGAAGGACACATAAGTCATGATCTATTTAAAAAGTTTAAAATTGGGGTGCTGGGGTGGCTCAGGCAGGTAAGCATCAACTTCAGCTCAGGTCATGATCTCACGGCCCGGGGGTTGGAGCCCCAGGTTGGGCTCTATGCTGACAGCATATGGAGCCTGCTTTGGATTCTGTGTCTCCCTCTCTCTGCCCCTCCCCCGCTTGTTCCCTCTCTGTCTCTGTCTCTGTCTCTGTCTCTCTCTCTCTCTCTCTCTCTCTTTCAAAAATAAATAAACATTAAAAAAAATTTAAGTTTAAAATTGATAAACCTTATCAAAGTTAAGAGCATCCATTCATCAAAAGAATATTAAGAAAGTGAAAAAGCAAGCCACATACCGGAATTAAATATTCTCTGCACATACATCTAAGAACTCATATCCAAAATATATTAAGAAATCCTAGTAATTGATAATAAGAAGAGGCACTTCATAAAAGAAGATGTACAAATAACCAATTAGCATGCGAAAAGATTTTCAACATCATAAGTCATCAGGAAAATGCAAATTAAAACTACAATATGATACCAGTTACACCCCCATGAGAATGGCTAAAATTTCAAAGACTGACCATACTAAATATTGGGAAGGATGTCAAGCAACCAGAACTCTCAGACATTAGTGGTAGGAGTATAAAATGTCCCAACCTCTTTGGAAAACTGTTTGATGTTTTCTTTCAAAGTTAAGCATAATCCGGGGCACCTGGGTGGCGCAGTCGGTTAAGCGTCCGACTTCAGCCAGGTCACGATCTCGCGGTCCGTGAGTTCCAGCCCCGCGTCAGGCTCTGGGCTGATGGCTCAGAGCCTGGAGCCTGTTTCCGATTCTGTGTCTCCCTCTCTCTCTCTGCCCCTCCCCCGTTCATGCTCTGTCTCTCTCTGTCCCAAAAATAAATAAAAACGTTGAAAAAAAAAAAAAGTATAATCCTATCCCAGAATCTAGAGATTTCACTTCTAGGTATACATCCAAGAGAAATGAGGGCACACATCCAAAAAAGACTTAGATGAGAATATTCATACCAGTTTTATTTATAATGGTCCTACACCGGTAACAGTCCAAATGTCCATCAACAGGAAAATAGATAGGCAAATTGTGGTAAATATATTCCATGTGATTGAACTACTGAATGAAAGACACATAGTGTATTGAGAGAAAGGAGTCTGACTCAAAAGAGTATACATTATATTATTCCCTCCATATGAAGTTCCAGAACAGACAAAACTAATTTATGGTGACTGAAGTCAGAAGAGTGGTTCTTCAGGTGCATGAGAGAGCTCTCTGAGGTAACAGAAATATTATATATCTTGATCCAGAGAGTGATCACAAGGGGATATACATACATACATAAAAAGTCAATAAGCTTAAACTTAGGTTTTGTGAATTTTGCTTTATGTAAATCCACCCTCAGTAAAGTACTGATAAAAAAAAAATAGCAGCATAAACTGGTTTCAAAACACAGAAGCAAGTACCAGAAGAAACGGTGAAAACAATTTAAAGGGGTTGCTGCTTTCTTCATAATAAACCTTTCGGTACTCTTTATTTTTTCATGTGTTTGATAATAAAAATTAATTTTTGAAAATTACCTTCCACAAAATAGCCAGAGGGAAATGCCATTATGTGCCATATAATAGGTGTTCAGTAGCAACTAGTGATAGAAAGGAGAGGAAGGAAGGAAACGAGGGAGGGAGGGAAGACAGACCTTGATGCAGTATCTGGTATTTTGGTGGCAGACTTCCGATCCAAGATGCACATAGGGAAGATTCTGCGTCACTGACAAAAGAGTTCACAAAATTCTGCCCTCTTCTCCACCACCTTTATGCCTTTTTTCTCCCAAAGCACTGCATTTCTAGATGTCATCGATCCCCAGAATCAAGGTGGTGGTCCCAAGCCTGCCATGTGACCTCGGGTGAGTCCCTTCCCCTCTACAGGCTTTAGTGTTCATCTGAAAAGAAAACTGGAGACCAGGTGGTCTCATATCTCCACTGAATCTAAATTGCAAGAATTGTAGCCTGTAGGCTTCCTGTTCTTCAAACTTTCGGCCTGCATTCCCCTCTAGGGCTTACCAGCTAAAGAGGTTTCGCATAAAACATTTTCCAGAGAACTGTGCCTGGGCTGGCCAGCGTCCTTGAGTTTATCTGGGTGGTCTTTCGTGACATATTCTTCTCCCCATTCTTTACCATCCTTGGGCTGCCTCCACACACCAGATGAGAGATGGCCCTTGGGCTGGATATCAGCCGAAAGACAAGGCTTAAGGTTTTCTTCCGCTTCAGGAGTTGTTGGGTTCATTCCTGAAAAATAGCACCCGCCATCAATATCTGAGTTAAAAAAAAAAAAAAATTGTATTTGTTGTTAACGGTTAAACAGTATGCCCCTGTTTGGGTATAACTACCCCCTCCACTTGAGGATTAAATACATCAACTAAGGATTAAAGTTTCCACAATTACAAAGGATCACCTCTGTTTCTGGCCTATACATCCTTATTCTTTGTATGTAGTTTCTACTAACCTAAGGCACTTTAAAAAATAAATTTATAGGGGTGCCTGGGTGGCTCAGTCAGTTAAGCGCTGACTTTGGCTCAGCTCATGATGTCACAGTTCGCGGGTTTGAGCCCTGCATCAGGCTTTGTGCTGAGAGTTCAGAGCCTGAAGCCTGCTTCGGATTTTGTGTTTCCCTTGCTCTCTGCCCCTCCCCCACTCAGGCTCTGCTCTCTCTCAGATAGAGAGAATAAATAAACATTAAAAAAAATTAAAACATTTATATAATAATATATTAATTTGTAATAGTATACGTTGACTCCCTGTATCTCCTTCCTTTTAGGTGAGCACACCAGAGAAAAAAATACAGAAGAAAGATGCCAAACACAATGTTTTTTTGTGGAATTTGTCTTCCTTGGTCCTGATAATGGTAAGGTGCAAAAAGGAAGGAGGAATGGAGGGAGGGAAGATGAAATAATTTGTAAAATACTGGTGAATTGTCTATTAAGCAAATAACTTTTAAATTAAATAAACTATAAAATGTGTCCACAGAAAATTTAGGTCATGCTACGTACGTCTGTAGGTTTCCCGTGAATGTTATTTCATTGATAATTGAAATGAGCCAGAAAGAACCAAGGATTCTGGCTTTGTCTTAAACATCCCGACCCATTCTCGCTCCTTGGGTTTAACTGAGTCACTGACCTACCCCACCATTCATCTCAGATTCTTAGTAACCATAGTGCTTTCTCTTTGCCTGAGTTCTTTCATGCCTGCTTTGGGACTGAGGGAGTAGAAACAGGAAAGGTAAAAGCAGGGAAAGGGTATACTTGCTAGAAGAGAAGAGAACTAAAAACAGAGCCACTTACCAGGACCCATCATCCCCTTCACATTACTGTCTCCTACATGCATGGATCGGGACTCTTGAGCTGCAGAGGAAGGAAAGCTTTCAATCAGTACTCATTCCACTAACATGGGCTGGCACCTTCTATGAGCCAGACATTGGGGACAGACTCAAAGTTGACAGTTTACTGAAAGAGACAGAGCAGTAAAAAAAAATAATAATAAAATCTCAATGTAGTGGCAAGCACTATTTTCCCATCTGTAAAAAGATATATTAAGTGGCATTTACCTCATAGACTACCGTAAGAATTAAATCAGTTATTATGTGTAACCTATACACAGTAAGAGCTAAATTATTATTTAACTATGATGGAGAGGATGGTGATGATGGGAAGAGTGGGAATAACGCTGCTCATATGTAAGTCAGACCCTGTCACTCCTCTGCTTAGCCCTCCAATGGCTTCCCATAAGCCAGAGGCTATATAATGACCATTAGGCTCTAAAATATCTGCTCCCTTCCCTGCCTGGTGTTTCCTTCTTTTTTTAAAACCCCATCTCCCCTTGTCTCCCTTGTTCACTCTGCCTTAGCCCCACAGCTCCTGTTCTTCCTTGAAATCTTGGCTGTGTTCCCACCAGGACCTGTTCCCTTTCTTCCCTATGGTATGCAGGAGCTCACTTCCTCACTTCCTTCAGGTCTTTACCGGGCACCCTCTCTAAAATTACACCTGTGTTTATTTTCCCCCTTATCACTGACAAACTACATATTTTATGTATCTTGTTCATTGTCTGCTTCCTTCAGAACAAAGGCTCCAGGAGGGCAGGAGTGTTTGTTGTTTTGTTCACTACTATCTCCCACCATCTAAGTCAGTGTCTGGGATGATGGATGGATAGGAGGAAAGACGAATGGGTAGTGGAAGAGTCAGCACCTTGACTGCAATCTCCTAAGAGAGTCATAGCAGCAGCTACGAATCAACTATGTTATATAAGCTACCTCTGTTATAACAGTGGGGGAAGGAGGGTTACCATCACGCAGCTAAATGAACTCCATCGAGCACTTTGCAAGTTATTATTTTAAACCTTTTGTCTTGTGAACATGTTCAACTTCCCCACACTTGGCATCGATCTGCCCTCTACTTTCCAAGGCTGTCCTGTATTCTTTCCTAATAAGATCATCCTTTTACATCATGTTCTTCATGACATGGAGCAAAGAAAATAGAACCCCTTGTGATGAACCCCCTCATTCCCCAGATGGATCAGGGAGTTTTGCCAAGCTGCACCTACTGGTCTCAAAAGTAACTACTCAAAGAGGTAAAAAAACAAAAACAAAAACAAAAACAAAACAAAAAAAACTTACAGAAATAAAAGCAAATCCATACTTAGAAGTTATACTGAGTAAAATCCATCTGATTTAGGGGCGCCTGGGTGGCTCAGTTGGTTAAGCCCTGGACTTCGGCTCAGGTCATAATCTCATGGTTTGTGGGTTCGAGCCCTGCATTGGGCTCTGTGCAGACAGCTGAGAGCCTGGAGCCTGCTTCAGAATCTGTGTCTCCCTCTCTCTCTGCCCCTCCCCTGCTCACACTTTGTCTCTCTCTGTCTCTCAAAAAAAAAAAAAAAAAAAAAGTTAAAAAAAAATTTTTTTAAAGCCATCTGATTTAGATTGATTAATGAAAGAAAGAGAGAGCGCTTGTGAGTGAGGGGCAGAGAGAGAGGGAGAGAGAGAGAATCCCATGAGGTGCAGACAGAGGGGGAGAGAGTGCAGAGCCCAGAGCAGGGCTTGTGCTCACTCAATGCGGAGCTCAAACCCCCAAACCCTGAGATCATGACCTGAGGCTAAGTTGGTTGCTTAACTGACTGAGCCACCCAGGCATCCCCTGATTTAGATTTTTAAATTTAATTATGCAGAACATATTTACTGTCTATGAATATATTGTTCCTTCAGCCATAAGGGTAGGAACCACCAGCACTGCCACTGAGGAGGTTGCAATTGGTTCAGAAGCCCTTGAGACTCTTGGAGATTTTCTAGATGTGACAAAAACAAAAAACAAAAACAAAAACGAGAGATCAAGAGAGAGAGAGAGAGAGACAGAGAGAGAGACAGACGGGACAATTCCTCTAAACAACGTTAATGTCTGCATTCACTCTCCTGTGTAGAAGTGCTTTGCTGGACATTGCTGAGCATACAGAAGTGTAGCAAACGTGGAACTGGACATGGTTACAGATAGATGGAACTGGATGGAAAGCCAGTTTCTTTAGGACTGCCCAGGAACAGTTTTCTAGCATCTGTTCTATCATCCCTCAGATCAGAGATGTGCTAGTGACTGTCAGCCAACGGACAGCACCAGCTCTGGCTATCCAGCGCCCCCCAAAAAGAAAATCTTTCAGTATATGTGCTGCCGAAGCGAGCACAAAAGAAAATCTTTCAAATTGGGCAGATCTCCTGGTCTCTTAGGATGCTCTGGATTCTTCTAAATTCCAGTTATTGGAGGAAAAATTTTGAGCAATACATCATTTTCCTGTAATAAGGATGGAGGACAGGGGCACTGGGTGGCTCAGTCGGTTGAATATCCAACTCTTGGCTTCGACTCAGGCTCATGATCTCACGGCTCATGGGTTCAAGCCCCGTGTTGGACTCTGCACTGACAGTGCGGAGTCTGCTTGAGATTCTATCTCCCTCTCTCTGCCCCTCACCACCCCCCCAAAATAAATACATAAGCATTAAATAAGATAAGGATGGAAGACATAAACCCATGCTCACTATTACTTAAGCTCTAGGAATCCAGGGGAAAGGTTGGCTTTTTCAATATGATTTGCAAAATGTACCTTTTTCATAGGCCTGAGAAGTCAAAAGGTTTGTAAAGTCTTCACTTGGAAGAACAGGTTCAGGGATATTGATTGAACGGAAAGGACTTCCTTGTGCTTGAGCAGGCCCCGCCTGTGAGCCATGTTCTTCTTTTTGAGTTTTCCTGGGGAAGGGAAACAAAGGGTGTTAATAACTGAGGGGTTCAGAAGAGAATCAGTTCAGAATAATCCAAGAAAAATTCCAAATTATTAGGTTGAACCATATAAAATTGCTGTTTTTGTAAATTAAAAACATATATTAGCAATTTTTAGGGTTCAACTTACTTCATCGCCAAAGCTGGGGAAAGATTTCAAATATGTATAAATCACATCCTAACCGTACCACCTATATTTTTATTTTTCTGTTACTGGCTTCCTTGTCATCAGGATCTTGAGAGTTTGCCATGGCGACAGTCTGCTTGGGATGATGTACATTCTCTTAACAAAACAACACAAAAGGTCCCGGGAAGCAGCAGATCTTCAACGAAAAACAATAAGCCAGTCTCCAGGGTCACACAGTTATTATTGGCATATTTCTATTTAAAACGTGATAAGTTAAAAACATGACAATGATTACCGCATATGTTTAATGGTGAGGCTTAATTGATTCAAATGGTTGAGCTATTAATTTTCAATGGTAGAAGTAAACTAGTAGCATTAGAGAAATTTTAGAAAATGAATAAAAAAAGAAAATCACTGGTGACCCCAGTATCTTAACACACCAATCATTATTTTAAAATCCATCTTTGTTATTTTACATTTTCACAGTTTAAATAAATTCTACATACCATCTTCTATCATTTTCATTCCACTTCCTATTATATTGAGTCCATGTAATCATCACCATCCATCTTTAATATCAACCAACTTCTTCTTTTTTAAAAATTTTTTTATGTTTATTTATTTTTGAGAGAGAACATGTGCAGGGGAGGGGCAGAGAAAGAGAGAGGGAGACACAGAATCCAAAGCAGGCTCCAGGCTCTGAGCTGTCAGCACAGACCCTGATGTGGGGCTCGAACCCATGAACTGCAAGATCATGACCTGAGCTGAAGTCGGACATTTAACTGACTGAGCCACCTAGGCACCCTAATATCAATCAACTTCTATGATTCTATAACCTCCATCACATGCTGACCCACAGATTCCATCAGCATATAGACAGTTAGCTGTATACTGATAGCAGGGAAGGTGTTCTGGATGCCACTGGATAAGCCATTGCTTATGGCTTTGCCTTTCACCAATTTTTTGTAAGACACTCACTTGGCTTTAACTTTCCGAGATTCTCTTCGCTTTTCCTGCTGAAGCTGTTCAATTTTCTGTTGCATTTCTTCCTGTTTGGAAGTGATGGCCTGAATCATTGACATGGCATTGCTCAGCTCTTCCTAAAAAATAGGAATTGATACATATTTAATCTAGTAAAAGAGATAAAAGGATATAACATGGTATATAATACATATTTTAATACATATTTGTTGAATGAATGAATGAGAGATGAGCATCTTACTTCTACTGTGGCCTATAATTTTAACACAGAGATACAAGAAAGAAAAGCATGAAATAGATATTTTTTGCCTGATAATTAATGAATAGACCAGGAGGAAAAATTCTTATATTTGCCTGCTACATGAAAAGGTATTTTCTACTTCTGTGACTAAGACCAAGAACTTCTGTTTAGCAGGGAAATAGAAGAGGGGCCTACCTTGAAATAGTTTAACGAATTCTTCATCTCAGTAACTTTTTCTTCCATGGAACATCGGCAACTCTTAACCTTCTCTTCCAAAGCATACTCGCCATGTTGAATTCTGGACAGTTCTTGCATTGCTTCTGTGAAACCAGTTTTCAGTTCAGAGGCCAAGGCCTGCAACTAAATGATAATCACCAAGAGTAAGTTCAGTTTGCTATTAACTATTATAAATAGTACCGCTGAACCCTTGAATTTTCCTTTTTTTTTTTTTTTAAGAAACCAGGATATAGAAAATCTACAGCCGGGTAAACTAAAGTTTTGACAACTTAAGACAAACTTGGCCCCATTCATTTAGTGAAAAGAGGGTCTTTTATATGCAGCACATGCTGAAGCTTGATTATGACAAGCAAGCAAGCAATTAATTAAGTTTACAAGTGTCCCTGCCAGCTACTGTTTCTTCTAACAAGTTTGCTTAAAGTGAGATTTACTTGAAAAGCAACATATGCATGTGAAACAGAATCTTGATCCAGTAACCCTTTCAATTCCATGAAAGAAGGGATAGGTCATATTAATTACCCCTAGTGGTATAAGAAAATGAAGAAATTCAGTCATTTTTTTTCCCCTTAAACAATTAAAAATAATAAAAAGAGTAATAACTAAGCATATCTGAGAATTTCTTTGCAGGTGAGGAAGTCATATAGATAGGTAGGTAGATAGTTGAATGATGTCATGGAAAAGGAGATAACAGCATTTGCAGTGGTGGGAAACAGATAAAATGGTAGGAGTTCAGCACATTGTTGACAGTGATGTTGAATTCTTTCCAAGAGTCAAGCCTGGTCGTGTAGGAGTGTGTGCATTGGATTTCTGTTGTCAACTTCCACACCATGACAAAGGTGTCAATTCTGGAGTCTGATAGGGTACAAATCCTAGCTCTCTCCTATATGAAGTAAGACCTCAGGCAAGTTGGTTAACCTCTTCACAGCAGTTTCCTCATACATAAAATAATTACTATAACACCTATTTCACAGGACTGTGTGGAGAATTAATGAATAAATGTAGATAAGCTTTCTGCTACAGTGCATGCTTGTCCATAGAAGGTGTTCAAGAAATTTTAATTCTTCTCCCCCTTGAAGTGGCAAATCAAAAAGTTAAGCACAAACAGAAATGTGGAGAAAATGGAGCACTTCTACAGTTCAGGTTTTTTTATTGAACAAATGAAAAAAGCATTTCAACAGACAAAGTTAGGATAATAATAACAATAAGATAAAAACGTTACTTTCTTGAAATTTATGACCTTACACTCTGCTAAGTAGAGGAACTCTTAGCTCCAGATCTCTCTTTAAAACAGAACTTTTCACAAAATTAACAAAACTTCAAATGTGTATTTCTAAACATTTTCAGAATCTGGTTATCCAAATTATTCCAACTTGCAAAAACACCTCCCACTATAAAGTGATTTGGTCTCCTACACCACATTTTAAAAATATAGGGTTTGTGTTTCACTGTGCCTCGCAAAGGTTTCTTTCAAGGGCTGGGAATAGGGAGGAAGTAGAGGAACCAAAGAGATCATTCTGAGGAAAAAAAACAGGATCTGCCACATGTTCAGGGCTGGAAGCTGGAGAAACAACATGAGCAATCTGTATTTCACTCCAATCATTTTTAATTTTAATTAATCTTTGTGATGGATTTTAGTACACATCCTAATCTAGTCATCAGAATGGATTGAATCACCAGCTCAACTACTTTTGATCTGGCAATTCTCATTATGTAAATTCATCTTCTGTGAATAAAATTTAAAAAAATCAACAGTATACAATATCAAAGCAAAATTTATGCAAGTTTTAAAGTTGAAGGAAGGAAACCTGACATTCATTCAGGTGCTCTGAAATTCTCTCAGGTTTCCTCTTTGAAAAGAAAGGGAACCACTATCCGACAGAAATAGGTTTCATTATCACTGCTCCCTTAGGTGGATGTGTAGAGTTTTCCCCAGCAGCAAAATGCAGCAGTAGGATCCTCGGGGGAAAGGACTTTTCCTCACCTGTAGAACCCCAGCTCTCAAAAAAAAAAAAAAAAAAATTAAGTTTTCCCTAACAGCCAGGTTGTATGGGGACTTTGGGAATTTTGAAACCATTTTAGCTATGAGCCCATTTCCTTCCCATATATTACGTTGAGCCCCTTGGGTACCTACCACTGAAGTAACACTACTGCTTTATAAACAGCTTCACAACCACTGATCAGACAGGGAGGAGATGCCAAAAGTGAGCACCATCACACACCTGAGACACATGTCACTTTTAAGATGCGTGGGGCTCAATGTCTTTAGCTGCTATGGACTGGTTTTCCAGTACCAACTGGCCATTCCTTTGTGAATGAAAAATACTCCCAGGACATGGACTTAATATCTTTTTTCTGCTGTCTCTTCAACTCTCTTGTTTGACAGCCCGCAGCCCACCCCAAGGATTAGAAATGGGTGTCTACCTTGTTCTCCAGCGAGTTGAACACGTTCCTCATCTCGTTGATTTTTTCATGAAGCTGCTCTAGAGAGGTTATGATCCCTCCATCCTGCCGCTGGAGACGGGCTCCCACTGGAGGCAGGTTCAGGGAAGACTTGTACTTCGAAGCCTAGGGTACCACAGAGGGCATCTTAGGCTCAAAGAAATAGGGGAGAGGAGTCCGAATTCTTCCTATTTCCTGTTCTTAATTTCTGTTTCTCAATTTTCTTTACTTTCTTGGCTTCTTAACTCTTCTCAAGGTGAATTTTAATCAATGTCTTCCAATTTTTTTCCACCAAAGATCCCTCAGACTGAATTCTCATACATTATGCAAATTGTTCCCACTTGTTTTTTACACAGACTTGTTCTTCATTCTGTCCCATTATCAAGGTCAAAGACTACTATGGGGCAAATTCGGGGGACTGGGCCTGTGCCTTGAGAACCCTGCTGAGTCATAAATGTCAAGATTTGAAAAAACTCCAGAAGGCAGGCTGAATTCCTTCGACACCTGACTAAAGGCTCTGTGAGAAGCAGCACATGCTGGCAAGGATGCCAACATAATTTCTTTGGTTTCCCCCTAAACCAGGGTTTATAGAGAGGAAATGTGGTCTTTCTGCCAGCTTTCATATTCTTAATTTTAGGCCTCTTTATCAATCCCCATAAGTGTAATAATTTAAAACACAGAGTGGGCAGCAAGTTGCCCGAATGGTCAAGAGCAAATTTCCCAAATCTACTCCTCTACACTCCCTAGAGAAGTTGATCCTTAATGTCATTCTTACTTCCATTCTTCCATTCTTAATGGAAGCTGATGTGAAGTGTGGCATGCTGGATATTTATCTTATCCATCCCCGAATGCACCACAGGCCTAGTAGAACTAATTTCTCTGGTGTTAGAAGATATTCCCCAATGGCAAAAAGAGACTGAGGCTCGAATAGGACTTACAAATCCTGGAAACTTACAATGACAATTTTAATGATGAAACCTATTGCTGTAGGACTGGTTCCCATGGTTTTTCAGTTAGGGGTCCTTTTGGCACATAATTCATTGGCTTAAATTCTTTTCATTACAGACAAAAAGAAAAAAGAAAAAAAATCTCTTCAAATCTCCTTACTTTAATATAACCACGAATGTTTTGGCACATTTCCTTCTGCTTTGTTCTATGAATGCAAGTGCAGACATTTATATGGTTGAAATCACCCTACAGATATATTTTTATTCTGCCCCTCCTTTTTTTGCCAAACACTCTTATAAGCCTTTTCCTATAGCCTTCAAAATGTTTTCTATTTTTAATGGCCACTCAATATTCCATCCTATGGTTGTGCCAGAGTTTACCCATTCAGTCTTCTTGGAAATCTATAACTTTTAATAACTTTTCAATATTATAGATAGTGCTGGCATATAATGCTTTTTATTTAAAGCTTTGTATGTATTTCAGATTATTGCCTTAGGATAAATTCCTAAATATGAAATTACTGTGAGTTTAAGGATGTTAGGCAGTATTTGACCTAAAGGGCTAAATTAATGTATTTAGAAAAACATGTCTTGGATAAAATACATAAAACATAAGTAATATAAGTGGAGGAAGCTACAGGATTTACATCCCTACAAGTAAGCCAAAAACACAGTTGGAATTCACATCATCAGGCAAGAGTTGAGCTGATCTAAATGGTGCAGTTACCACATCTGTTGCCTTGACTGGCAGATTCCACCAGCGCTGCTCATGTTAATGGACTGTTATTTTAAAGAATCCTTGTGCAAACGGAAGTAATCAGTCTGAAGCAACACAATCTGACTCTGGAAAAGAGATTGGGTAAACTTTGAGAGGCCTATGTACAGTGGACAAAGGATGAGATTGAAGTGGGATGGATTGGATTCCAATCAAAAGGAATGTGAGCTAAGGACAGTCAGTGTATCCACACAGATTCACCTGTTCTGGTAGTACTTCTGGAACGAACTGGGAGATAGTAGTGCTCGTTCTCCTGTCGGCTTCCATGACCTGATTGGGTCAATGTTCCTTACTCACCAAGGAGGTCAAGTCCATCCAAAGAACAGAGAGCCAATTAGAGGTATGAACATTTTAATACTTTCACTGTATTTTAACTAATAATTCTTACGAAAGCTTCCACCAATTTACACACACTCATCAGAACTAAATATTATTTCATTATTTGCTAATTAGATTGCTGTCAGCTTTCAAAACCTCAATCTTCTATTTATTAGCCATCTGTAATTTTACTTTGGTAAACTGTCTGTGTCCTTTGCCCTTAATCTACTGAGATCTCTGAAGTTTCCTTTTTTTACTGACTTGTATCAACTATCTTTATATCATTAAACCCTTATGATATTTTCTTGTAAGAAGTTTTCCCATTTGGTTATTTGCCTCTGAATTTGTTAAAAATATATTTATGTTGGGAAAATTTTTAATTGTGATGTGGGTGAAATCTCTGGCCCTTTACTTTGTGATTTCCTCCAGTGCTGTTTTACTTAAAAAGACATTTCACATCCAGATACAAGAAAAATATTCACTAGTTCTAAACTTTTATGGTTTGACTTTTTTTATTTCTAGTCCTTTAATCCATTTTTTAGTTTATTTTGATTGGGGTATGAAGTAAGGATGTCTTCCTTTTCTTTTCCTTTTTTCCCAAAGAAGAACAAGACAATTTTCCCCAAAAGAACCAGACAATTTTCCAAACATCATTTGGCACCAGACTGAATAAGTGCATCAGATCTCTTGGCTCAAAGCAATATACACATCTTGCAGATATTCATTCATTCATTCAACTAATATTTATTGAACATGCATTATATTCCAGGCACCGTACTTTCTTCTGAGAATACAACAGAGAGCAAAACGTACTAAATCCCTGCCCTTGGAGCTTACATTCTAGAGAAGGAGACACACAATTAAAAAAAAAAAAGAAAAGAAAAGAAAGAAAGAAACAAGTTAATATTTGCTATAATTTCAGGTAGGGATTGGGGTCTATCAAGAAAATAAAGACATAGAAAATGGCTAAAATATCATATTTTGCTTCAAATGTCATATTTTGCTCTCCCTTTTTGCTGTAAATTGTATTCTATTATAGTTAACCTCTCCCTGCTTCCCTCCTTCCTCTTCCTCTTCTTCTTTACTTCTCTTTCATCTTCTTTTGGTTAAATGTTGCTTGGAGTAAACAGACTGGGATTTAGGAAGCGTTCTTTTAAAACAAGGATGGGGTTATAATCACAGCATCACAGAGGTCATATAGACCAACTTCATTCCACTGCTTCATTTGTTCCACTGTGAACAGATGTACTTGGATTTGTGATACAATAAGAGAATGAGGCCACCCCCCGCTGCTGCTATATTTAGCCAACATTCAGGGAGTGACCTACATAAAACCTATAATAGATTTTAAATCATACCTCAGTTTAAAGACATACTCACACTCATTCAAATGCATACACAGGTCAGATGTGAACAGAGTGGAGGTGGGCAGGGAAGGCATTTGAAGGTCATTGATGAGTGAGGCATCAAATTAGCACTGAGGAAAGACTGACCCCTGCTTCCAGGCCTTTGTTCAAGCTGGCCCCTCTGTTTGAAATACCCTTCCCCATATCCACTTACCAAATGATCAACTTGTCCTTAAATGCCTCATTGAAATCCTTCAGCCAATATTCATTCATCACTCCCCCATATCAGTGCCTCTGTGTAATCCTTCCAGTGGCCTGCCTTGTGTGAGCTATTTATTGTATATGTTTTCCAGGTGGTGGACAGTTAAAAATCAATTGTGAATGTTTGTTGCATCTGTTTTATTTTTCATTAGGCCAAGCAGTTGATTTTGCACATAGTAACTGCTCAATAAATATGTATTAAATTGAAATGAGGCTGTTTCCTCTACCCCTTTCCATTGCTGGTCTTGGTCTAGGAGCAATATGATTACAGAAATGTTTTCATAATCCTGTGTTGGCTTGCTCTGACTCGGCACACAGCGATGATATCTTGCATGATATTTCTGGGAACTATTGTTATTTTCACTTTACTTATCACTTAAACTCAACAAATCTAAATAACATTTCCCCCCAAAACTCTCCACTCTTCTGGATTCCTGTATCTCTTTTCAGGAGACCACTCTTTATCCTTACCACAGGTTAAAGTCTTATGGCCAACCTGAAATTACTCTTTCTACCAGCCTCCACCAAGCCTTGTCAATTGTCTCTTCCTTCTCATGCTTTCCAGATAACAGTGCCTTAACTCTAGAGAGGAGCATGGATTTTCCTAGCCCAAGCTGCTTTTATATTACATATTATATCAGAATAAACTTCCATGATTTTTAAGGACAGAATTTTACTTTAAATTTACATTTAGAGATAGAAGCCAAATAAACACTGTTTAGAGAGCCAAAGCAGACTGATGCGACCCTTGTTGCAAACATATTATAAAATGTTTTGAAGAATTTTTATCTTTCTTGTAAATTATTTCCATTGTTTAAAAGGAGCTTAAATTTTTTTCTGTCACCATATTTGAACATTTGCAATGTTAACCCCCTTTCAGTTCTTAATGCTCTCTGCTAAAATAGCAAACTAAGAAAAAACAGACCTTGCTTTCTCCTTCTCTCTTACGGAAATGTTATTGCACAGTTTAATGGCCATAGTGATGGTGGCAACAGGCAAGACAAGCAGAGTTGATTGGGGGGGGGGGTGGGTAGCACTGTAATTTATAACCTGGATAAGTTGTCCTTCAAAAATCAGTTTGCTCAAAAGTACAATGTGAATGGTGCTCTCTGCCCCGCCTACCTCAGTCTTGTTAAGTTAACAAACACCAATGACAAATGTGGAAGCAATTGTTGAGTGCTGGAAAACTTTATACATAAATGACAGTCATCACTATTACATATAGGAGTGTTCAAAACAATCTAAGTTGTCTTTACCTGGTAAATCTGTGTGGAAGGATTATTCATCGGTATATGTTCATTCTCTCCTGTGGGAAGAAAGAGCTTTGTTCAATGGACATGACTCATTCTGTCCCTATCCCCTTCACACACACGTAGGGAATAAGGGGACTTCTAGGATCTTAAATCTGTGGCTGCATGACAAGAAACCAATGATACAAGAACAAAACATAAGCTGGTGTAGGTGGTTTCTAGATTCACATCCTAATGACCAAACCGTATCTATCTGATATAACTCTTTCTTGTAGTAAAACAACAACACAAAACAAAAATGTCCTACCACAGTGGGCAAGTTTTGCAACCAAACTGAATGATGAATGCTCAGTAATCAGCCAGAAGGGAATGCCCATGAAGGTTTCCCTCCTGTCCTTGGGGCTGGTGGAAGTTTACTTGAGAGGGTATTCTACAATTAGGAAGGCTACCCCAGCACCTGTCTAGTTGTCACTGTGTTGTTCTCAGGAGGCCTGCATACAATGTCCTTGCCAAACTTCTGAGCTCTCCCCTGCTGTCACTGCCCAGATCACCTAAGGCAATCTTACTGTCTTCCTGGGTAAGAGGGTTGGTAGAAGGGAATTGTCAAAGGAAAGATTCTGGGAAGGATGCAGGCAGAAAGAAAATAGTATTGGCAACACTGAAGACTGAGAAACACAGGGCAAATACAAAGGAAATAGCAGGTTGTAAAAACCACTTACAAACTAGGGAGAAAAAAGGTCGGCTTACAGTGTACCTTGCAGAACCACACTGGTTGGCCATGAAGAAGGACAATCCAAGTAAAACATGCAGCTCATTTGCTCATCCATTTAGCTATATCTCCATTGTGTCACTCTGCAGTTTATAGATTAAAGCCATGGTTGGGGCGCCTGAGTGGCTCAGTCGGTTAAGCATCCGACTTCGGCTCAGGTCATGATCTCGTGGTCCGTGAGTTCGAGCCCCGCGTCAGGCTCTGTGCTGCCAGCTCAGAGCCTGGAGCCTGTTTCAGATTCTGTGTCTCCCTCTCTCTCTGACCCTCCCCTGTTCATGCTGTCTCTCCCTGTCTCAAAAATAAATAAATGTTAAAAAAAATTTTTTTTAAGCCATGGTTGCGAATATTTGGTTGTGTGGATGTATATATTGTTCACTTAAGATATGGTGGTACAGAAAACCCTTCCTTAGAGGAGCCAACCTCTAAATAAATATAAATAATAAATAATACATAACCTCAGCCCAGAGCGTACACAGACAGAAGGCTGTTCCTATAAAATCTAGATGGTTTAAGATCACCACAACTCCCCACACAAGTCTGAGTAAAGATTACTTAGCCCATTTTATACTATGTCCCAACAGCCTGGTACCATGGCAAGAACCAGAACATGGGAACCAAGTCCAGGCTCCCAGATCAAACTTTGACACTTTGTGATTATAGCGTGACATCTCTATGACTGTTTCCTTATCTGTAAATTGGAGAGAATGACAGAAACTACTTCTGTATGGTTGATTCTATATGGTAAAGATGAAAAGAGAGAGCACTTATGTTTCTAGGCTAACCTAGAAGGTGTTGGGTGTTTATTAGTTGAATCTGTATCTTGGCCTTATTCAGCAGGTTGCTCTGAAGCAAGTCCCAAAGTTATTGCTAAGAAAAATAAGATAACAACTCACACCAAATTATATATACAGCATTTCCCACTTTTCCAGCACCAAGTCTGTGCTCTTTGTGGTCATTATATAATAAGGAAATGAGAATAGCCAAGGCAACTTATTCTCCTGTTTTGATACAATGGCAAAAGAAGACTGAAACCTACATTTCTTAAGTTCTGAGATCTAAAGCAAGACATTGGAAAAAATCTAACCTTGCTTTGTTTTGGTCTTTTCCATGGTGCCTGTTGCTTCTTTCCTCCACCTTACTCTTCAGCATTCCATCTTCATTGTCCCTGGATCAGGCCACCCCTTCTTCTCTGGACCTGCCCATTGAAATCAACAGGAAGGGTTAGCAGGCAGAACTGGTGAAGTAACTGGACTTACTTTATGTGCTAACTTAAAATGATTGGAATGAACACAGCTATTAGAGGCAACTTGAGGTTTATGTAATTTCAGAAGAGTGAAGATACTAAGTTCATAGCTAGTTTAAAAGGTAAAGTTAACTGGGGTGCCTGGGTGGCTCAGTCGGTTGAGCGTCTGACTTCAGCTCAGGTCATGATCTCACATCACAGTTCATGAGTTCAAGCCCACATCAGGCTCACTGCTGTCAACACAGAGCCCGCTTCAGATCCTCTGTTCTCCTCTCTCTCCCCTGCCCCACTTGCACTCTCTCAAAAATAAATAAACATAAAAAAAAAAAGTTAGGGGCACCTAGGTGGCTCAGTCAGATAAGCATCCAACCCTTGATTTATGCTCAGGTCATGATCTCACAGTTTGTGGGTTCAAGACCCATGTCAGGCTCTGTGCTGACATCGTGGAGCCTGCTTGGGATTCTGTCTCCCTCTCTCTGCCCCTCCCCTGCTCACTCTATCTCTCTCAAATAAAAATTTAAAAAATAAAATAAACTTTAAAAAATTAAAAAAATTTAATGTATAGTTTTTAATATATTATTTTTTGGATCATATCAATTACTTTAGCCCCATTGATTTTATTAATAGGTTATATAGTTCAGGGAAATCATCTTAAGAAAAAAACAACTTGATGGGGTGCCTGGGTGGTTCAGTCAGTTAAGCATCTGACTTCGGCTCAGGTCATGATCTCACAGTTCATGGGTTCTAGCCCCACATCAGGCTCTGTGCTGACAACTCAGAGCCTGGAGCCTGCTTAATATCCTGTGTCTCCTCTCTCTGCCCCTCCCCTGCTCGTGCTCTGCCTCTCTCTTTCTCTCTCTCTCTCTCTCTCTCTCTCTCAAAAATAAACATTAAAAAAATTTTTTTAAAGAAAAAAACAGCTTGAGCAAGTATGAAGGCCAATACATCACACAGTAAGCTCCTGGATGACCTTGTTCCCACTTTCAGCATCTGGCAGACTACACACTGGAGGTGCTTATCGAATGTGGCCTGGTTGTAGCGACCATTGGACACATAGCTGCGGGTTCAAAATGCGATTAAATGTCAGTGTTGTGGATGTTGGACCTCTTTTTGGCCATCTAGAACTTTAATCCTTTCCAATGATTGATCAACATATAATAATTTATAAATGAGGGATATCAAGAAAATCAAGGCTATATACTTTTGGGATCTTACACCCTTTTCACATGAGCATGAACATTATGTCAGGGTAGAGCATCTTCTCTAGTTATCTGAATGTCTTTTACAGCTGATGTGAGTGTTACTGAGATGAAAACTTTCTTCTCCTTAGCAGCTGTTCCTTTGTTTGACAACTAATGCATTCTTTGATGTATGTAAATTAAATCATGAAATATTAGAGCCAAAGGCCCTGAGAAAATTATTTCGTCCAGCTTCATCATTTATAGGTGAAGCAACTGAGGTCTGGAGAGTGGAAGAGAAATGACCTGCCCAAAGCCACACAGCTTTGAAAATGACTTTTAGAAGTGATTTCTGTTACTGTTTAGAGGGAAAAAAAGCTTGAAATATGTAAAGCCATGTTTTTATGGCTAATTACTTCCTAGGGATTTAGTTATCTAATTTACAAGTCATTGAAAACAAACCAAAAATACCATTCATATATCATAGATATAGTGTAAATTTACACATTTTCAGAGTTAGGACATCATCAAGCTCACATATGTACACATGCTCATGGATTTCAAGACATAACCAAAAGAGTGTGGTTAATATAGGGTAAATAAGAATTTTTATTTTATATATTTAATTACAAAAGTAACAAAACTACATTAGAGAAAATTTGGAAAACATAGAAAAGACAACTCTAATGCCTTCACTTAAGTAGCCATGATGATCATTTAGTTGTATTGCCTGCCCATCTTTCTTTCTCTTGAATGTTTTACATGATTGTTCATGGACCTACTTGTATCTACTATTTCACCTGCATTATAGCACGAGCATTTTACTTTCTTTTTAAAAACTGGATCATTGTTGGGGGACCTGGGTGGCTCAGTCAGTTAAGCATCCGACTCGGTTTCGGCTCAGGTCATGATCTCCCCATTCATGAGTTCAAGCCCCGCGTCGGCTCAGCACTGACAGCACAGAGCCTGCCTGGGACTCTCTTTCTCCTTCTCTGTCTCTGCTCCTCCTCTCCTCTCTCTGTCTCTCAAAATAAATTAATTAAAAAAGATTTTTTTTAACTGGATCATTGTTACTCATGGTTTTTTTTTGTTGTTGTGGTCACTTTAGCAGAGATTGGCAGCATTCCTCCCCAGTCCCAGTTGGTGTTAACAATCTGCCAGTGTTCTTCCACTCTTCTCTCCATTTTCATATCACCATGTACAAACATATATACAGAACATACATGTCATGGTAGTATCCCACTACACCTCCCTGCATCTTATTTCTTTCATGGCAGTCTTTCCAAGTTAATGGGTGTAGAGCTAATAAATTATTTTTCATGGCTGCACAATACCTGAGGTGTGAATGACCTATGTTAATCATTTCTGTATTGATGTACATTCCTTCTATTTCCATGATTTTGCCACTGCAAACAATGCCACAACAAACAGCTTCGTACATAGAGCCTTATATATTCATGCTTTTAATTATGTGGGATTTTAATAGATATGACTAGGCTGCTTTACAAAAAGGCTGTAATTGTTCCCATATCCCCCAGGAAAACTGTGTGAGTACCTTTTCTCCTGCATCCCATCCCGGCCAATAGTAGATGTTAACACTTTTTAGTTCTTGCCAGTCAGATGAGTGTGACAAGGGATATTTCATTGTTACTTTTGCTGATTGCTAGAATTACCAAGCACCTCTACGTGTCCTTCCTGTACATTTAGATTTGCTGTTTGGGGATTACCTATTCCTCTGCTTTGCATATTTTCCCATTGAGTCATCTGTCTTTTCCTTATCAATTAGTAAGAGTTTTTATATTCTAGAGATTAGATTTTTATTTGTCATGTGAATTTTGGTTATTTTTCCCAACTGTCTTTTTTGTCTTTTGACTTTGCAGTCACTTTTGCTATTAAAACATTTTTGAATTTATGAAGTCAAATAGAACTTTTTCCTAATTTACTTCTTGATTTCCTGAGCTGCTTTAAAAGTTCTCTGTATCCTACGACTCCTGGATGGCTTAGTCAGTTAAGCATCTGACTCTTGATTTCAGCTCAGGTAATGATCTCACAGTTTGTGGGTTTGAGCCATGTTTCAGGCTCTGCACTAACAGTGCAGAGCCTCCTTGGGATTCTATCTCCCTCTTTCTGCCTCTCCCCTGCTTGCTCTCTATCTCTCTTTCAAAATAAATAAACATTTAAAAAAAATTTTTTAAAAAGCTCTATGCAGCCCCAAGATTTTATATGTATGTTTCCCTAAATTTTCTTCTCAGGCTTTCATTATTTTTAAGTGTTTCATTCATTTGGAACTTGTTATTATAATATATGGTGCAAGGGAGTGTTAATTTCTTTATTTTCCAGATGGATGGTCACTTGTACTGGCACCAGCCATTACATAAGCCATCCTTTTCTTTCATGGAATTGAATATTACTTTTGTCACGCAGAGATCTTTTATACGTCCTCTATCCTATTCTGATCTATTTCTGTTCCCAAACTACAAACTATGGCTGTTCTTCTGTGTTTTAAACATATTTGGTAAGGCAAGTCAACTATTATTTTTTTTTTATAATTTGCTTTACCTGACATTTATTTTTCCATGTGAATAAATGAACTCCAAAGTCATTTTACCCATTACAAAAAAATTTAAATTCTCATTGGAAATGCATTAGATTTATATATTAATTTGGGAGAACTGATATTTTCTTACATCAGATCTTGTCATCCTTGAACATGTATATTCTTTCCATTTGACTGGATCTTGTTTTAGGTCTTTCAATCAGATTTTATTGTTTTTTTCTTAAAGATCCGGTACTGTTCCTGTGAAATTCATTCTTAAGTATTTTTTATTGCTATTTTAAATGGTATTTTTTCACTTCTACTTCTAGCTGGTTTTTGTATTCTCTATTTCTTTGCATATTTATTTTACATTTAGCCACCTTAGTAAATTCCTTTATTAATTATGGAAGATTTTTAAATGAGTATTTATTCAGCTTTCTAAATTTTTTTTAAAGTTTGTTTGTTTGTTTATTTATTTATTTATTTATTTATTTATTTATTTATTTTTTTAGTAATCTCTACACCCAATGTGGGACTTAAACCCACGACTCCAAGATCAAGAGTCAAATGCTCTTCCAACTGAAGCAGCCAGGTGCTCCCTTTCTAGGTGATTTTTATCCTTATTTTCAAATATTTATACTGGTTATTTCATTGTCCTATCTTATTGTACTTGTTAGAGCTTCCAGAATAATGTTTACTAATAATGGTGATAGTGGACATCATTATCCATTTTCTGATTTTAATGTAAATGTCTTTAAAGTCATTTAGAATGATGCTTCTTATTTGGTAAATCATCTCTATCATACTTAAGTAATTTCCTTTTAGTTCTATTTTACTAAAATTTCTTATTAGGAATGGATACTATATTTTATTAGTACTCTCAAGAGCTATTGATAGAATTGCTTTTTTCTCCTTTATTATTTTAATGCATTATGCTGATTCCCTGATGTTGAATCATCCTTGCATTCCTATAATATTTGCTTGGCTGTAAGTACACCTCTTTTGGTACACTGAACTCTATTTGTTAATATTTAGGCATTTTGTATCTATATTCATAAATGATTTTGATCTGTGGGAAGTTTATTGTTTTTTGTCTTTTATTCTTTTTTGGCATTGAGGTTACGCTAGCTTCTTAAAATGAGTTAGAGAGTTTTCAATCTTTTCCTATAATTTAGAAATTTTTCACTTAAGTTGGAATTATCTGGTGTTTAAAAGATGATAGAGTATAGCCATGAAAC